CCTCTTGCTCTCTCAAAAATAAATAAATGTTACAAAAATTTTAAAAAAGAATGAATTGAAACTATAGATTGCTTCAGGTAGTGTGGATATTTTAAGAGCATTAATTCTCTAACCCATGAGAATGGATATCTTTACATTAATTTGTATTGTATTCAATTATTTTTTATCAGTGTCATATTTTTCAGAGTATAGATCCTTCATATCCCTGGTTAATTTATTCCTAGGTATTTATTCTTTTTGATATAATTGTAGTGGAATTGTTTTCTAACTTCTTTCTGATAGCTTGTTATTAGTGTACAGAAAAACAAAACATTTCTGTTCATTAATTTTATATCCTGCAACTTTACTCAATTCACTTATTCTAAGAATGTTTTGGTGGGGTATTTCGGGTTTTCTAAATGTAATATCATGTCATCTGCAAACAGGGACATTTTACTAATTCTTTAATAATTTGATGGTTTTTATTCTTTTCTGCTGTGGCTAGAATTTTCAGTACTATGTTGAATAAGAGGCAAGAGTAGGCATCCTTGTCTTGTTCCTGATGTTAGAAAAAAAAACTTGCATTTTTTTATCATTAAGTAGGATGTTAGTTATGTCATTTTGGGCCATATTAAAGTATGTTCCCTCTATATCCCCTTTGTTTCAAGTTTTTCCATGAATGAATGCTAAATTTTGTCTAACATTGTTTATGCATCTATTGAGATATTCATCATTTTTATCTTCAGTTTCTTAATGTGGTGTATCATATCAACCTAACTTCATATATTAAACCATCCTTGAATCCCTGAAATAGATCACACTATTTTTGTGCTGAGTGATTCTTGTAATGGATTGTTGATTTCATTTTGCTGGTATTTTGTTGAGGATTTTTACATCTCTGTTCATCAGAAATATTGATATGTCATTTTCTTTTTTTATATTGTCGTTGGTGTTGGTGTCAGGGTAATGCTGTCCTGATATAATAAATTGGAAAGTATTCCTTATTCTACAACTTTTTGGAATAGTTTGAGAATCATAGGTATTATCTCTCATTTAAATGTTTGGTAGAATTCACCTGTGAAGTCATCTGATTCTGAAGTTTTATTTGTTGGGAGTTTTTGACAATTGATTCAATTTAATTAATTGTAATCAGTCTGTTAAAATTTTCTGTTTCTTCCTGATTCAGTCTTGGAAGATTTATCCATTTTTTCCTAAGTTGTCCTATTTGTTGGAGTATAATTTTGTTGGTAGAGCAGAATTATACTCTGTATATGTATGGTGTTGGTATAACTTTGGCTCTTTTATTTCTAATTTTATTTATTTGAATCCTGTCTCCTTTTTCTTGATGAGTCTGGCAACAGTTTTTTTGGTTTTGTTTATCTTTTCAAAGAACAACCTTAGTTTCGTCCACATTTTCTATTGTTTTTTTTTTATTGTTGTTGTTTTAGTCTCTGTTTCATTTATTTCTCCTCTGATCTTTATTATTTCCTTCTAGTTATTAACTTTGGGCTTTGTTTTAATCCTTTTGAAGTTCCTCTAAGTGTAAGGTTAGGTTGCTTATTTGAGATTTTTCTTGTTTCCTGAGGTTAGTTGAGTACTGGATGGCAATAAACTTCCCCGTTTGAACTGCTTTAACTATATCCCACCTATTTGAACTATTGTGTTTTCATTTTCATTTGTCTTACTGTAGTCTTTTGATTTTCTTTTTTATTTCTTGGTTGACCCATTGCTTGTTCAGTAGTAGTACATTATTTAACCTTCATGTGTTTATGAGGTTATTTTTTAGGTGTGTGTGTGTGTGTGTGTGTGTGTGTGTGTGTGTGTGTGTGATTGGTTTCTAATTTTATACCATTTTGGTCTAAAAAGATGCATGATGTCATTTTTCTTAAATTACTGAACTTTGTGGCCTAACATGTGGTCTATCCTGGAGAATGTTCCATGTGCACTCGTAAAGAATGTATATTCTGCTGTGTTTAGATGTACTGTTTTTTATATACCTGTAAAGTCCATCATATCTAATGAATCAAAGCCACTGTTTCCTTACTGATTTTGTATCTGGGTGATGTATACATTGATGTGAATGAGGTGTTCAGATACCCTACTGTTATTGTGGTACTGCCGAAGTCTTTTATATAAGTTGATATTTGCTTTATATATTTAGGTGCTTCTGTATTGAGTGCATGAGTTTTTACAATTGTTGTATCTTCTTTTGATTGATCCCTTTTTCATTGTGTAATGCCTTTCTTTGTCTCTTTTTACAGTCTTTGTTTTTGTTTTTAAATTTTTTTGATGTTTATTTATTTTTGAGAGAGAAAGACACAGACTGCAAGTGGATGAGGGTCAGAGAGAGAGGGAGATACAGCATCTGAAGTAGGCTCCAGGTTCTGAGCTGTAGCATAGAGCCCGATGTGTGGCCTAAACTCACAAATGGTGAGATCAGACCTGAGCCACCCAGACTCCCCTACCGTCTTTGTTTTAAACTCTATTTTGTCTGAATTAAGTGTTGCTATCCTATTTTTTCCCCCTTTGCTTCCATTTGCATGGGTTATCTTTTCCATCCCTTCATTCTAGGTCTGTATGTTTTTTTTAAGTCTGAATCTGAAATGAATCTCTTACAGGCAACATGTAGATGGGTGCTGCTTTCTTTATTGATTCAGTCATTTTATAGCCTTTCATTGGAGCATTTGGTCCATTTAAATTTAAAGTAATTATTGACAAGTATGTATTGCCATTTTGTTGTTTTTGTAGTTCTGTTTCTTTCTTGTGTTTTTTTTCCCCCCGCTTATGACTTGATGACCTTCTGTAGTGTTACGCTTGGATTCCATTCTTTTTTATTTTTTGTGTATCTGTTTTAGGTGTTTGGTTAGTTGTTACCATAAGGTTCCTATACAACACTATATATATATATATATATATATATATATATATATATATATATATATATACACACACACACACACACACACACACACACACACATACACACACTATGCAACAGTATATATAGTATATATTTTTACTCCCTCCACATTTCATGTATTTGAACTCATATTGTATATCTCTTAGTTTTATATATCCTTAACTAATCTTTATGGCATAATTGATTTTACTACCTTAATGTTTTGACCTTCATCTTAGCTTTCTCAGTGATTGATTTACCACTTTTATCATGGTGTGCTTTCACTGGTAAAAATATTTTTTTCCATAATTTTCTTAGTTATATTTCTAGCTTTTCCTTTATCACTTAAAAGACGTCCCTTTGACATATATATATATTTAAGGCTAGTTTAGTGGTGATGAACTGCTTTAACTTTTGTTTGGGAAATTCTTTATCTATCCTTCAATTTTGAATAATTTTCCAGGTAAAGTATTCTTGATTATAGGTTTTTTTTTCCTTTCAGCACTTTGAATATATCATACAACTCCCTTCTGGACTGCAACGTTTCCATGGAATAGTCATCTGATAGCCTTATGGGCTTTACTTTATATTCAAATAGTTGCTTTTCTCTTGCTACTTAAAAGATACTATTTATAATTTTTTACATTTTAATTATTCTGTGTCTTATTATAGACCTTTTTAGGTTCACCTTTGGGGCTCTTTGGAATCCCTGGATTTGGATGTCTGTTTCCTTCCCCAGGTTAGGAGTTTTCAGCCATTATTTTTCTTTTCTTTTTTTTTCTTTTTAATTTTTTTAATGTTTATTTATTTTTGAGACAGAAATAGCATGAGCAGAGGAGGGGAAGAGAGAGAGGGAGACCCAGTATCTGAGCAGGCTCCAGGCTCTGAGCTGTTAGCACAGAGCGCGACATGGGACTTGAACTCAGGAACTGCAAGATCATGACCTGAGTTGAAGTCAGATGCTTAAATGACTGAGCCACCCAGGTGCCCCAAACCATTATCTTCTTCAAGTAAGTTTTCTACCTTTTTCTCTTTTCTTCTGAAACCCTTATAATATGAATGTTATACCTAATGGTGCAGAGGTTTCTCAATATATCCTCATTTTATTTATTTATTTATTTATTTATTTATTTATTTATTTATTTATGTTGCTGAGCTTGATTTCCTCTAGTTTTCCTAATTTTCTTTTTTAAATTTTTTTTTCCAACGTTTATTTTATTTTTGGGACAGAGAGAGACAGAGCATGAATGGGAGAGGGGCAGAGAGAGAGGGAGACACAGAATCGGAAACAGGCTCCAGGCTCTGAGCCATCAGCCCAGAGCCCGACGCGGGGCTCAAACTCACGGACCGCGAGATCGTGACCTGGCTGAAGTCGGACGCTTAACCGACTGCGCCACCCAGGCGCCCCATAGTTTTCCTAATTTTCTATCCATTCTTCTATATCCTGTAATCTGCTGTTAATTCCCTTTTGTATTTTTCAAGTTATTTTATTCTTCAGTTCTGAATGTTTCTTTTTTATATTTTCTCTTTTTTGAAGTTCTTACTGACCTTATCTACTCTGCTCTAAACTCTCATAAAAAGGGGCACTTGGCTGGTTCAGTTGATGAAGCATCTGACCTTGATTTCAGCTCCGGTCATGATCTCATGGTTCCTGGGTTCAAGCCCTGCAGTGGGCTCTGTGCTGACAGTGCGGAGGCTGCTTGGGATTTTCTCTCTCTCCCTCTCTCTCTGCACCCCCCACCGCCCCCCCCCCCCGCTCATACTCATTCTCTCTCACTCTCTCTCAAAAATAAATAAATAAACTTAAAAAAATTTTCTTTAAAGTCTGGTGAAATCTTTATGCCATTACTTTAACTCTTTTTTTAGGTAGATTGCATCTCTCTATTTTGTTTCTTTTTCTGAGATTTTGTCTTGTTCATTCATTTGGAACATATTTTTCTGTTTGCTAATTTTGTCTGGCTCTGTTTCTTTGTATTAGGTAGATCAGTTATATCCCCTGTTTTTGAAAGTAATGGCCTTACATAGAAGGCGTCTTGTCACGCCTAGTAGAACAGTGCTTACTGGTCACCAGAACCAGGCACTCCAGGGGTGTCTCCTTCCATGGCTGCATATGCTTTCTTACTGTGACTGGGCCACATCTGCTGTGAGTACACTGGTGGGAAAGAGTGACCCCCAGTCTGGCTGGCTGCAATCACCAGCCACAACTAAGGTGAGCACACTAGTGAAAGGGGCTACTCTTTGGCATGGCTGACTATGAGGTCTGGCTGCAGCTGCTGCTGGCTTGTTCATGGGCGGTGCTAGCTCCTGGTGCAACTGTGACTATTGTGGGTGTGCTGTTGGTCAGGACCTGCCCCATTCCCTGGGGCTGGAGTTGATTTAGTGAAAATACGTGTCTTGACAAAGGCTGCCCACTGGGTGTAAGGTGGTAAAAGCTGCTTTGTGAGGGTGCCTGCTAGGGTTGACAGGATGGTGGGGAAATTCTGTAGGGGAACATTTGGGCAGAGTAAGCAGTATTAGCAAGTAGATGAGAACATCAAAACTGGCCTCCTTCAGTGTCCAGGCAGCTGGTTTGAAGGAGGGCAAACAAAAGTGGTGCTTACCAGCTCTAACATTTTCAGAAAAATTTCCTACAGATCTCCATGCCTCCAGCACATGGCCTAAAATTAGTGAATAGATATAGCCCAGGCACTTTTTGAATGGCTGCTTTTGTACTGGATCTCAGGGTGAGTGATTTTGTTCATGGGCTTGTTCAGAGCAGATTTTGTTTACTGCAACCCTCTGGCGCTCCTGGAGTTAAGCCCCACTGGGTTTTAAAACTTCTGGAATTAATTCAACTAATTTTCAAAGCCTGATATCCTGAGGACTCACTTTCCTCATGCAGATCCCCATGGTGAGGGGTGCCCAATGCAGGGCTTGAACCTCTCACTTCTCAAGGAGGACCTCAGTGCCTGTGATATCCCTCCTGCTGTGGTTTCCTGCACAGAGGGTTTGCTCCCCAACTGCAATCTCAGGACCTCCTACCTTTCCCAGTGTGGCCTTTTCTTTCTATCTTTAGCTGTGGAAGACTGCTCTGCTAATTTTGAGGTTGTTCTCTGAGTGTGTTGCACTATGTGTAGTTGCAGCCTTGGTGCGTGTGTAGGATAAGGTGAGCTCAGGATCTTCCCTCTTGGCAGTCTTCCAAAAAAACCTTTACACCGTTTTTCCTTATCCCATTTTCAGCCAACCCTTACATAGAAAGAGGTGACTGTTCTTAAATATAACAAATTTTTCATTTTTTTCTAAATATTTTTATTGGCCTTCTTGGAGATTTTTAAAAAGCATTTTTGGTGAATGAGTTACTAAATGGTATATTTACATAAGCAGTGTTAATTAGATATTGAATTGAAACATGATACAGGATTGAGATGATGAAAAAAAGTCACCTGATTTTGGTGTTTCTCAGATTCTTAACTGTGTATTCCATCACTTCTTGATTTTAGAAATTTTTCTACATGCCACTTTTCTTTTTAATATCATTTATGTTTCCATTTTCCCCATACACGATTATATTGAATTATTTTTTATTCTGTTCATTTTGTACTCTCCTTTTTTCCATTTTTTTTTAAATATAAGTGATGGAACTATTTCACAAAATTCTCTGATTTGTTTTTTTGGTTAAAGATATCAGTAACTATTGAAAAATATCAGAAAATGAGTCAAATAACAGATATACTTAATAGTGTACCATTTTTAGGACTAAAGTGTACTAGTTGTTTCCACAGCCTTTCCCATTGTGTCCTTCATACTCCTTGGGAATTTTCTTAACCCTGATGTATGTTTGTTTGTTGGTTGGTTGGTTTGGTTTGGTTTCCTTTTCGGTGGAAGAAAACAGCAGCCAGTAGACTCAGCACAAGCACATATTGTTGATGTGAATGTTTTCTCCGTTATACCCATGCATGGTGCTTTCTTTAAATCCATTATAATACATTTCCAAAATTCTTACCTGTTATGTATTGTCTATGATTGTGTTATAAAATAAACATTATTTGAGATGATTCATGAAGGTTGGCTTACTGTTAGAAAGTTTTACACATCAGCCTGAGAGTAACATATCATAGTCTTAGAACGTCTTTGCTATCAGTGGCAAATAGATTTTGGAGCTTTTTTCAAGTGTTTTGACCTCTTCAATCAAAGATTTATTATGTCAATAGTCCATCACCTCCATATGGCAGGAGTTCATGACATCAAGGATAAGATCTACTTTACGATATACATTTTTTACCATTTCCTTGTCATGTTTGCTAAAGGAATCTTTTTTCTGCCCTTTATTGATTCCACTACATGTACCACCATTGAAATCCCACCACCAAAGAATTCGTGTAATGTCACTATTATATATCAATATAGACAAGTTTCTTTTTCCTTGAGAGATCAAATATGAGGCTTTCATGTATTTGAAAAAAAAGTAAACACCATTGAATTAAATGAAGCAGTTATGAAGCATAGGGACATATAAAGTGAAGTTCATGATGTAGAAGGAAAATAAAAGTCATCTATTAACGTCTGCAAAATCAGTGTAATTTTTGGAAGTGAAAACACTTGTGTGCCTCATACATGCTATGCTGTGCTCCCATGCATCATGAATTATTTAAAATATTTAGAATATGCCTCATGAATTCTGCATGCCAAAGTTCAGATAAATCTACTGTGATATGAACAGAAAAAAGCAGCTATATTTAACAAATAAATTTTTAAGTCTGCAGTGAAGACAAAATACACAAATGTATATACATAAGGAGAATGATTTACATGTTTTAATCCACTAAAGTAGAATGCTTCTAGTCCATACCTATACTCTTATTATTACCTCCAAATTAAGAAAGCATCAACTGATCTTGTTTTTTTTTTCCTATTGTCTTTACTTTTTATTATATACCAGCTGATGTGTATCATCTGATGATCTAGTCTGTAAATAGAAATACTTCTGATATATAGATAGAGCATAGGGTAATGTTTTAGTTGGAGGTAATCCACAAACAAAACCTCCCTCCATTCAAACTGTTAGACTCAACTTCATCACCTAAAGATAAACTCCACCTTACTAGCCCCATAGTGGGAATTAGTCCGGGTGAATTAAAAGCTCCACGTAGACAAGTGTCCCTATATTCTAACCTTTTGAGTTCTTGATCCTCAGATTATTCACATTCTGTGACCATATATGAATATCTTAATCACTGTCAACTCTTCTAGTCTGATATCTTAAATTCAAACCTCTTATTGCCTAAATTCAACTATTCATGTAGTTCTCACTCTTCATTTCCATTGTACTCTACTTACTAACCTCATTAAGAATCATTCATTCTGTGGGCCCTTAAACTTCTCCTAATATATCAATCAGCACCATATTTAAAAATCTAATCTGTGACTTTATTAACAGCTAAGTTCAAGTTTCTTAAATGTATTGTTATTTCTTACACAGTTAGACTTTTTATTTTGTGTTTCCTTTGTGTACCATTTTGGTTTGTATTTCTTCCAGGTCTTACCTTCCTCTGTATGCATGAAGTTTTCTTTATTTCTCTTTATTTCTTTTCCTTTAAAAAAATTAGCTATTTCAGTTTTTATTTGTTCTTTATAAATTACTAATGTCCATACTTGACTGCAATAAAATTAGTTGAACAATACACTTATTACCTTTAAACAATGCAAGAACTATTAAATATCTTATCTCAGATCTTCTCCTTTGGTATTTAGTATTATCTTTTGTGTGGTGTATTATTTCTGACCTAATTTTTAACTCCTCTTTATTAATTTTTCAGCAAATGGGTAATACATTAGTGAATATATTTACTAATTTCTTAACTTGTTATTTTTCTTGAGTGTGATTTTTTTTTCCTTTTGTTTTCTTGAAATTTTCGCCTTAAGTTTTTTTAATGAAATTCTGAGTGTAATATAGAAGCTCTTTTTTTTATTTTTTAAAAAAATTTTTAATGTTTATTTTTGAGAGAGAGAGAGAGAGAGAGTGTGTGTGAGTGGGTGATGAGCAGTGAAAGAGGGAGACACAGAATCTGAAGCAGGCTCCAGGTTCCGAGGTGTCAACACAGAGACGGATTAGGGGCTTAAACTCACAAACCAAACCGTGAGATCATGTCCTGGACTGAGTGGACTGCTTAACTGACTGAGCCATCCAGGCATCCCTCTTTATTTATTTATTTTTTCTTATTCTTTGACAATCTAGATGAACACAGAAATCTAATGACAGCTAGCTAGATTTTCCCTCAGCTGTTCAAACATGTTATTGTTTCTTGTTACTTGTCTTCAAGTATTTATTTATATTAATGAAAAGTCAATTGTCACCCTTTCGGCATTATTTTTATTTTCTCTCAATTTAATGTTCATTCTTACTATGGTGTGTACGGGTAAGGACTGGATTTTTATAACATTTGAAAACTGGGTGCACAGTCAATGTAAGGATTCAGCATTCTCCCTAAACCTAGAAAACACTGATGTTATTTCTTACAATATTGCTACACTTCTTTCTCTCTTTTTCCTCTGGATTTTTTTTACTATGTCCTTAGCACTTTCAATATATCATACATATTTTCCTGCTTTCAAAATCCCAGTATGGCATTATAGGGTATATTACCTCAAATCTGTTGTATAAAAAACTATATAATTTTAAAGCTACTTTTAAATTTTAAAAATTACCATATATTTTTCATCTTAGAAGTTATATTGAGTTATTTCTTCAAATTTTTTATATTATCTACAAACAAATAGCATTTATGATTTTATGTCTTTTTATATTTTTGGTTATGTTTAAATACTTCTTTCATGATCTCCTTTAGGTTTGCTGTTATATTTATTTTCTGAAAGTGCTAACTCTCCTGTTTATAACAAGTGCTCTCCTTTATGGTAGCTTATTTCCTTATCAGGTGGCCTTTTTACTTTTGAGCTCATCTTTGAGGGACAGCGTCTTTGTTGTTTTGGTGTTTCCTCCTGTAGAGAGTTTCATAGGCCTTATATCTGGAAACATTCCTTTAGAGTCAGTTTTGCATCTCCGGCTTACATTATTCTAAGTTATCAACTGAGTTTTTGTGTTGTTTTGTTTTGACATTTCTTCATTTTTGAGAGACAGAGAGAGGCAGAGCACAAGTAGGGGAGAGAGAGAGAGAGAGAGAGAGAGAGAGAGAGAGAGAGAGAGAGAGAGA